GATCCAGCAATTCCACTTTTAAGTATATACTCAAAAGAACTGAAAGCAGAATCTGTACACACATGATCATAGCAGTATTATTCACAATAGCTAAAAGGTGGAAGCAAGCCAAGTGTCCACCAACAGATGAATAAGCAAAATGCACTATGTACATACAATGCCTTAAAAAGGAATTAAATGCTGATACATGCTACAACATGGATAAACCTTGAGGATATTATGCTCTGGTGTCTTAAGCAGTCAAATTCATAGAGATAGAAAGTAGAATGGTGGTTGCCAGGGGCTGAGGGGTTGGGAGAATGGTGAGACACTGTTTTACAGGCACAGAGTTTCAGTTTTGCAAGACAAAAAGAATTCCAGAGATGGATATGGTGATGATTGCACAACAATATGAATACACTTAATACCACTAACCTGTGTACTTAACAACAGTTAAGATGGTAAATCTTATGTTGTATTTTACCACAACAAAAAGAAAATTGGAAAAGGGGGAAAAAATCTCATGAGCAAATTAACAAGCAAATTTTTACACGTTTCCAACTAAAGGGTCAGGAAATTATGTTTTTATTTAAATTACCTGTAGCTTGGTTACTAAGATTCCCAAAATAGTCTGTGGCATATAAAACCTATTAAATGTTTTTTTTAAAAGTTTTCCGTGGAATTCAAATAAAAATTTTGTGTGGGGGGGGCGGGGTTGTGAGGAAGACTGGCCCTGAGCTAACATCTTTTGCCAATCTTCCTCTTTTTTTTTTTGGTCTCCCTAAAGCCCCAGTATATAGTTGTGTATCCTGGTTGCAAGTCATTCTAGTTCTTCTCTGTGGGGTGCCGCCACAGCATGGCTTGATGAGTGATGTGTAGGTCTATGCCCAGGATCCAAACCCATGAACCCATGAACCCCAGGCCGCCAGAGCAGAGCAGGCAAACTTAACCACTCGGCCACAGGGCTGGCCCCTCAAATAAAATTTCTAATGATTTCACTTAATAGAGGAATGTTACATCCAAGTATCTCCGGAACATGGCACAAAATTTGAAAAATGTTGCTGAGATGCAATGCACAGTTTAGCTCAAAGTTCATCACATTTAACACGCTAAATGTTGGGCCTTCCTTGCAAATTTTCTTTCTGGACATTACTTTGAAAAAGGAGTTAGGAAGCTATTTATGTAATTCAGCCAAAAGCTTTATAAACATGGCTAACTAAATCACATGTCAAAGGAAGAAGCTAACAACTGAGACCTCCAAAGCACTAGGGAAAAATTCCAAGGTTGCTATCTGGCCAAACTTGCATGAATTTTCAAGATGTAGTTTTCTGATAAAGAATCAAAGTCTGACATGCTGCCAAATATGGGGCAGCAGAACAATAACAGAACTGGTCTGATCTTACATAGTAAATCCATGTTCTACTTTGGACACCTTATATTTCTAAGAACATGGAGAGCTGGTATCAGAAGGCATTAAAAGAGAGAGAGAAAGAAAGAAAAATGGAATGTAAAAAGATGAGAGTGAAAAGTGAGGGGTAGGTTTAGATTACTTTTTTTTTGGGTCAACTTGGTGATGTGTTGCCACTTGTGAAAGGAAGGTAGTAAAAACTACTTAGCCATATCAATGTTTACACCAATTGGCACACATTTTATAGAATCTAGTAGACTCTTCCAGACATTGCTGGGAGAACTGATTGACAGACAAAAAGAACAGGGATCAACAAAATTAGATTGTAAACTCCAAGAAGATGGAATCCCTGTTTCACTCTCCGCTGTTATCCCCAGTGGACAATACTGAACCTCAAATGCGAGAGAGAAAAGTTAAGGGTTATGAGTTACTTTAAAGGAGGCTGCTGTATTAAGTCATAAGGGAGTATCAAAAAGTCATAGCGATTTTCAATGCTAAATAGCAGGCAAATACATACCCCAGAAGATCTAAACCTGTCAAAAATTCTTAATTTATTTTTTGAGTTTCTCATTAAAAACAAAAAACCCAAGCCTAATGCTACTTTCCATCATCATCATACAACTGATCCTGAAATAACTAGCTTTATTAACAATCAAAAGTAGTAGGAAAAAAAACAATTTCTGTAAGAGGAGGAAAAAAGATATAAGCAGATGGGTTCCATGCAGACCACGCTCTAAAAGAGTAGAGCTGGCTAGCTCTGTGGCTTTTGTCCTCCAAGCCAATTTTGAAAGGAAAAAACACTAGAAAACAAAACATTGCAAATATCACCATGGCATTAGCTACCATGAAGTAAGAAAGTCCTTTTCTGCAAATCTAACATCTACACAGATATATGTGGCACATGAATCTAAAATACATTATGTACAGATATTTTTGGAGGTACTATATTTCTTAACAAACCTTAATATGACAAGCAGGAAAATTCCCAAGTATTGAAAGACAATTTCCCCAACATCTGTACCTAATCTCGCCTATTCAACCTCTCTTGAAATAACTGCATGTGCCAGTACAGCTAACATTTAAAAACAATACTTTTTTCATTGTTCCTATCAGAATCTACTCTCTGGTTTTAAAATAACAGAACTATTACAATTTCTAAAGGTTCTTTTCTCAAAGGTTTACAACAATTTCACTTGCAGAGACTACTCTTTGTAAACTAACCTGCCATAAAGTCTCCCTAAAAATCCACCTCACTGGAGTACCCCCCCAAAAACAGTTGTCAGCAAGCAATATATATATTAAAACTCACCCTCCTTACTTTATGTTTGGTTTTCTCTCCCTCTTCACAAGTTGTTCGTGGGTAGAGAAGTTCTTCGTCCACCCACTGTCACTCACTTTAGATCTCTACACCTGCTCCCCAGAGGAAGATGATAAAAGCTACTTCCCAACGTGTGGAACTATGGGGTGTGCTCTGTGCCCTTCCCCCAACCTCTTCCAGTGTTCACAGTGTTTACCTCCCAGGGAGGGGAGAAGTTTTGAGAAATCAGTCTAGTGACTTACCCCAGTAGCAAATCCCAGGCGGATACAAACTGGGGAAAGGAAGAATTGGGAGATATTTTAAAAGATATGTTTCATCCTGTGCCCCAAAAAACTAATGCCTGAAGCTTGGTTGGTGTTCACTGGTCAGAGGCAAAAAATAATACTCCGTTTAGTGTGTTTCTTCACGATATGGATGAGAAGGGATAGAGGGTTTATAAGATGTTCCTGGTAATTTCCTTCCGGAGAGGAAAAGAGAACTAAATAAGAAAGGAAAAGAAAAAAATGGATAATTTCTTGTTGTCACTTTCCCTTCCACCCCCCAGATGCTATTATATTCAATAGCTATTATATTCAGTAGGGATTCAAAGGAAACGTGAGAAAAATTTTTTAAAAACTATCCACCAGAAACTAAGATAAGAGGAATTTTAGCTGGTAGCCAAAAGTCTAAAGGTTAGGTAGACAGCTCCTTACCCCCTGCAGGGGTAAAGGCGGGACGAGGAAAGTGGCTGTTGACTGAGCAGAGGATTTTGTGACTGAATTTGCTGTTCCCCTTCTTGTTCTCAGAATCACAGACCGCCCCCCTCCCCGACAAGTGGACTCCAGCACCTGGTGGGGGTAAGAGAAGACAGGAGAGAGAAAAAGGGAGACAGAGAAAGATGAAAACATCAACAGCCATGTTGCCAAACTAACAACTAAATCTAGACATGAAAGAAGGAAAAGTAACAGGACCAACCAAGTCGGAAAGGGATAAACAAAAGGTTACCTCAAAACAAACAGGCCTCCTCCCCTCTGACGCACTAACCAACTAGCACACAGTAACCATTAGAAAAATAATTTAACTGTGACTGTTAATCTTTAAAATTAGAGGTTTTCATTCTAAAAGTTAGAAAACAAATATTGAATCTCCATGGCTGGAATTTCAGAGAGTGTTTTATTTCAAATGAATATCTGAAAGTACTCTGACAATGAATTGTTTTTAAGAAATCGTTTTAAAAAACAGAAAAAAATGACCTGTAAACTACCCAGTGTTGTACAAAAAAATGAGATTTAAGTAACATTTAAATTTGAATGGTTACAGTTAATAATTAAGAAACTCCACAAATATTATAAACATACTAAGCCCACAAAAAAGAAAAATCTCCCATATTAGGCTGCCCGCATACTTTTCATACAGATTGAGAATCTGACCCAACTCCACAAAGATGGGGCAACAATTTATGTCAGTAAGGGGAAAATAACAGCACCTTGAAAGAATTCACACACAAGTTACATTCAACAAGGTTCGTATAATAACCCCACTCAGAGAAGAGAATCAACGCCCCGTCTCTACTCATCAACACAAATGGGATAAAATACTGGGATTACAGATCAGCAATCAAAGATAAGGCTAAATCAATAAGGTAAACCTTAAGTTATTGTCCCCCAACTGGGATTTTTTAAAGGGGGGGGGGTAAAATTTGCATTACGGTCCAATGCTTAAAAGAAATCAAAGATAAGCCATTATTTTGTCACCCCATTCTCACTCAGAGGGCTGTCAAACGAAAAAGAGGAATGACTGCCACACGCTAAAATTTACACGTAAGGAGGAACAAACGGAATTAAAAACAATAACTGCAGGACGCACACCGCATCCTCGCCGCGGTCGCACCGCAGGAATTCGCCTGATGGAGGCACGGGCGGCAGGGCTCGCCACGCACCCGGGGACAGGTTAGCACGACGCCGCCGTCCTCCAACCAGCACTCGCAGGGTCACCACACCCCCTCAGCCCGGGAACCATACTTCCTCACGCCCGCCTCGCCGCCCCGCTCCGGCACGCTTCTGCCGGCCGCACGCTCCCGGCCGCAGCGACCCCTCCCGGCGCCCGCCACGGCCCACGGGCCGCCCCGCCGCCCGCCGCCCCCCGGCCCCGGCGCCGAGGCGACCACCGGCCTTCCCCAGCCCGCTGCCCTCCCCGGCCGCGGCCCCGCTCGGCCCCGAGTTCATTCGGCCCGAGTCGCCCGCCGGGGGAGAAGGCGGGGGCCGCGCCGCCGCCTTACGCCCTCCGCCCGCGGAGGGCAGCGGCCGTACCGCTCACCTGGCTCCGGCGGCTCCTCCCTCGCTCGCGGCCAGCGGAGCCGGGTCGGGGCCTCGGAGGGCAGCGCGGGCAGCGAGCGGCTGGAAGCCCGAGGAGAGGGGGAGGGGTCGGGATGCCGGGAGCCGCCTCCTTTCTCCTCCGCCGCCGCGGCTCCCGCGGCCAGGCCGGGCGCCCTCGCACACTCGCCCTCCTCCTCGCAGCCTCGCGCCCGCTCGGGCTCTCCCTCAGCCCCACTCCCGCACACACGCACTCCCACACGCACTCACACCCGGCCGCTCCTCGCTCCCTCACTCGCCTGTCGTGCGCGCGCGCGCGCGCCTCCCCGCTCACACACAGCGCGCGACGCCGGCGGAGGCCGCCCCGCGCTCCCCCAGCCCGAGGCGCCGCGCGCCGCCCGCCCGCGTGCAGAGGACCCGCGCGCGCCGCGGCCCCGCCCTCCAGGCGCGGCCGCGCGGCGGGCGGGGGGCGGCGGCCGGCGGCGGGCGGAGCGAGGGGCTGCGACAGCCGGGCGGCCCCGGCCGAGTGGATCTGACACCTGCGTCGGGACCCGCCTTCCGGGCTCGCCGTCCCCACTCGCGGCCATCGCGGGCCTCTCGGGTTGCGGGGAGGCGATGGAGCGCGCGCGCCGGGAGGGAAAATGGGAGCGCGAGAGCGCTTCGAGGACGCGCTTTCCCCACCCGCCCCCAAACCGTCCTCCCTGAGAAAGGGAAACGGCTGGGGGGAGGGAGGGCAAGGTTTGTTCCCAACTCGAAACCGCGAGATCGATCCCTTCCGTTGTGCACCCTCCCCGCCCTCGCATTCCCTCGTCGGGCCCCATTCATCCACGGTTTGAACCCCGACGCGAGCCCACCGAGCCTCCCGGGCGCGGGGTCCTGTCTGCGTGTCCACGCCTCTGCGCCTCCGCCCGGCCCACCTCCCGCGCAGCCTTGCGGACGGCCACCGCCTAAAGTCCCTTCTAGCCGTGGTCTCTCCCCTCCCCTGCGGGATGCCAAGATCTGGGGACAAAGATCATTAATATCTTTAAGGTCCTTATCCGTGTAGGGAGTCAAGACAATGCCTCTGAATCTTGTGAGGCAAATTTTTAAACTACATCCTAAATTCTCCCGGCTTTAGCAGGTTTAAAGACATAGGCAGGGGAGTGTGGTACAGCCGGCTCTGCCACTGAGAAACCAGTGTAAACCTTGAGCAAATTAGTTACTTAACTTCCTCCAAGTCTTTGTTATGGAAAGATGAGTATGTTCCAGGGTTGCTCTGAGAATGAAATAAGATATTTAAGAGCATTTTGGAAATTCTACAACCATATATAAAAATAAAATTATAGTCCAAAGGAGGCTAAGAATATGCTCAATTCATTCAATTCAATTCATATTTTTGTTCATTACTACTATGTTAACAAATTTTTCTAGATTATGAAGAGTAAAACCAAAGGCAACAGATGTCTGCCCTACTTTACATGGAAGATTCATTTTCAGACAACCTTAGTCATTTATTACCGCCAGAGATCCCAGATGTGAGACAATAATGTCCAACCAGGTTGCCTTTTTTGAAGGTCACGTCCCCTTCTCAGTCGCCTCAGCCAACAAATTCTCTTCAGCACTCCTCTTCCAATCTTTTGGGTCTACTTTTTTTGCTGATTCCCCTCAGGATAGTGAGAGTCCTTTAAGCGATGTAGCATAACCTAGGGTGACAACTTCTGCACTGGCTGGGACTTGTAATTCCACTTCTATGATCTTCTGAAGCAACTTAACTTCTCTGTATTTTAATCTGCTTAACTGTAAAAGTTAAGTATAAAAATATTTCATAAAAACAGTTACCTATTTCATTGAATTGTTATAATAAGTAAATGAGTTAACTACGTATATAATACTTAATGCCTGGCACAAAGCAAGTGCTATTATAAGTGTTTACTGCTCTTATTATATGTTATGTCACTGAGAGTAACCTAGGATAGTGAACTATTTTCACAAAGGACACATTTAGAGGAACAAATATGCTATATGATATAGTGCTTTCAGAAGAAAGGGGAAAAAGTCTGCAGAACTAAAATGTTGCTATTTACTTCCACTTTTATATTCAGCCTCCTGGAACATAAAGTATATTTAACCTAAAGGCAAAGAAGAGAAGCATTTTGTGATCAAGGGGAGCTTGATCACAGAACTAATAACCCTATGAGAATCCAGCAAACAGTACACAGGGAAATTGACACAGGGAAAGGTTGCATGAGTCAGTCCAGCAGAGGATCAGGAACACCTAGCCTATCCTTCAGTCTCACTGTTCAGGAACCCAATTCATAGTAACCACGCACCACCCAGAAAAACAGGTTGTACTGGTGAAACTGTGGAAAGGGAGTATTACACTATTAACTCACTGCCCACTTGCCTTTAAAAAATGCTATCTGTCATTCAGTGTACTGTCACTATGTGGCAGACACCTCCAAGGAAATTCCTAATGTATACAACAGAATTGTTTTTAATTAAAGGTAGTCAGAAAAAACAAAAGTAAAAACCCAGAACTATATTTTTTAAAACAAAGCCAATGAACAATCATAACAAAAAGAATAAAATATTTAGGAATAAATTTAACCAAGGAGGTGAAAGACCTATACAATGAAACCTATGACATTATTGAAAGAAATCGATCATGACATAAAGAAATGGAAAGATATTCCAAGCACATGAATTGGAAAAATACATATAGTTAAAATGTCCATACTACCTAAAGCAGTCTATAGATTCAGTGCAATCCCAATCAGAATCCCAATGACATTCTTCATGGAAATGGAACAAAGAATCCTAAAGTTCATATGGGGAAGCAAACGACACCGAATAGCTAAAGCAATCCTGAGAAAAAAGAACAAAGCTGGAGGCATCACAATCTCTGACTTCAGAATATCCCACAAAACTACAGTACTCAAAATAGCATGGTACTGGTACAAAAACAGGCACACAGATCAATGGAACAGAATTGAAAGCCCAGAAATAAAACCACACATCTCTGGACAGCTAATCTTCGAGAAAGCAGCTAAGAACATACAATGGAGAAAGGAAAGTCTCTTCAATAAATGACGTTGGGTAAAACTGGACACCCAGACGCATAGGAATGAAAGTAGACCATTAACTTTCACCATAGACAAAAATTAATTCAAAATGGATCAAAGACTTGAAAGTAAGACTTGAAACCATAAAACTTTTAGAAGAAAATATAGGCAGTACACTCTTTCACATCATTCTGAGAAGGATCTTTTCGAATACCCTGTCTGCTTACACAAGGGAAAGAAAAGAAAAAATAAACAAGTTGGACTTCATCAGACTAAAGAACTTCTGCAAGGCAAAGGAAACCAGGAACAAAATGAAAAGAGAACCCACCAACTGGGAGAAAGTATTTGCAAATCATATATCCAATAAGGGGTTAATCTCCAAAATATCTAAAGAACTCACATAACTCAACAACAAAAAAACAAACAACCCAATCAAAAAATGGGCAGAGGATATGAACATTTTTCCAAAGAAGATATACAGATGGCCAACAAGAACATGAAAAGATGTTCAACATCACTAATCATCAGGGAAATGCAAATCAAAACTACGATGAGCTATCACCTTACCCCTGTGGAAATGGCTATAATCACCAAGAGAAAAAATAAATGTTGGAGAGGATGTGGAGAAAAGTAACCCTCCTACACTGCTGATGGGAGTGCAAACTGGTGCAGTCACTATGGAAAACTGCATGGAGATTTCTCAAAAAATTAAAAATAGAAATACCATGTGACCCAGCTATCCCGCTACTGGTTATCCAAAGACCTTGAAATCAACGATTGAAAGAGGCTGATGCAGCCCTAAGTTCATTGCAGCATTAATCACAATAGCTAAGACATGGAAGCAACCCAAGTGCCCAGTGGCTGTTGATTGGATAAAGAAGATGTGGTATGTATGCACAATGGAATACTACTCAGCCATTGAAAAAAGACAAAATCATCCCATTTGCAACAATACGGATGGATCTTGAGGGTATTATGTTAAGCAACATAAGCCAGACAAAGACAAACACCATTTGATTTCACTCATATGTGGAAGATAAACTAACACATGGACAAAGAGAACAGTTTAGCGGTTGGCAGGAGGGAAGGCAGTTGGGGAGTGGGCATTAGGGGTAAAGGGGCACAGTTATATGGTGACTGACAAATAATAATGTACAACTGAAATTTCACAATGTTATAAACTATGATGACCTCGATAAAATTTTTTTAAAAAGCTAATGATAAGGCTTATTTTAAATAGATTATCATTATATCAGATAATATTTACATGAGTAATGATCAAATTCACACTTCAGGGGCCAGCCTAGTGGTGTAGTGGTTAAGTTTGCATGTGCTGCTTGGGCAGCCCAGGGTTCACAGGTTCCGATCCTGGGCACAGATGTACTTTACTCATCGAGTCATGCTGTGGCAGCATCCCGTATACAAAATGGAGGAAGATTGGCACAGATGTTATCTCAGTGACAATCTTCCTCAAGCAAAAAGAGGAAGATTGGCAACAGATGTTAGCTCAGGGCCAATCTTCCTCTCCAAAAAACAAACAAACAAACAAAAACCAAATTCATACTTCATATTTTTGTATGAAGTAATGATGGAGCAGAAACTATTTTTAGCATTTCCATAATGGGAAAGCAAGGTCCAGAAAGGCTCAGTTTCTTCGATTCAATCATAATCTTTGTGCTTTCATGGTTGATATGTTTAGACAGGTATGGATTCACATCTCCTTTGGGTAGCAGTGTGTGCTCAAAAGTACTTTAAGTAGCTTGTCTTGGTTTATTCATGCACCACCCATTTTTAACAAGTAAATTAATATTATTCAGAGAGCTCTGGGGTCAACTGAATCCCTTGAGAAGACATATTATAAGCAACCTAGCATCTTTGGAGTCAGAGAAGTCTGATTTGCAATCCCAGCTTTATTTATTAGTGACATGAGGTTGTGCTTAACTTCTATAAGCCTCAGTTTTCTCATCAGCGAAATGAGGATTAACTATTTCACTAAGTTATAAAGATCAATGAAGTAACAAATATAATGCACTACATAGTAAGTGCTCAATAAATATTGGCTATTATTATACAAGACTAACTAATACCAAAATACTCAAATATCAGAAAGAAGCTATACAGTGCCTAGACACGTGCGGTAATAGTACAAATAGTTGTACATATTCACTGCATGTCCTTATGAGTATGAGACCTACCTTGAGATGAGTAATATCTTTGAGACAAACTGAAGTGCATCCTTTGCCTAAACTAAA